TGGACAATAACCAATAATAATGATTTGCTTGTATACTACAAACACTTTTTTTTATCACATAATAAGGCAGAATAGTTTCTATACTGTAATAAATGCTATGTCAGTTAGCACTGCATTGTTCATATACTTTATTTATTACCTGGAGATGACTTGACAAACACAAATAAACCATATTGTCGCAATCGTATGTTTAATGTCTTCATGTTTCCAAATGTTTCTGTTTTCGTGCAGCGATAGCTGGACGCTTTTGTCCATATTAGGAATTTCCTCATAGGACTTTCTGCGCGAGAGCGCCCTCCGGCTACGAGTATGAATGAAACATACACTGCATGTGTGTTTAGCGCTCCGCGATGTTCATCTCGCCTTATTCTGGGTCCGAATAAAACATCAGATCATGCACAGACTATCTTGTCTCTTTGAATTTAAATCTATATTTATTCACACCGGCTCTTGAAAACCTCTATGTGAACACACTTGCCCGAAAAAGTGCGGGGCACGAATTTACGTGATATTAAAAGTGGGGGGGACACGGCCCCCGCGTAATCTACGCCCCTGCATGGTCGTGACTGTGGCCGTGGCCGCCGCTCAGACCACCGTGACTATGGCCATGATCCGACTGATGCAGAGTGAAGGCCATTCTGCACAGAGAAGAACAGATAGAAGGTCAATTTAACCTCTTAAGACCCGAGAAAAGATTTTTAGGGGAAAAAATAGTTTTTTTCATGTCTTTACATTGTTTAGAGCATAAAAAAAATGTACAAAAAAAAAGATTTAAAAAATGATATTTCATTCATAAGTTATGCTATGTCCTCGGTAGAGAACATCGGGACTCAATTTAAAAAAATAAAAATAAAAAGACATGAATGAACATGCATAGGCATGTTCATATCTTTTTTAAATCACCAATACATTTTTAGTTTTCATTAATATCAGACATATTTGAAGACCAAGGAGAGGGAGTGGTCATAGTGAAACATCCAAACATTTAGTATCTATGAAAAGCCCTGAATGTGCTCTGTACAGGACATCCAGACTTAAAACTGTGGCATGTATAGTCTCAGAGAAATACACCAAAATATAATGTCCTCATATAAGGTCACAGGGTCGCCATTTTCACAGCAAATAACAATTTTGTTAAAATGCCAAAGGCCATATGAGGGTATTAATAGCGAGCGGATATACTCCGTAATAGAACTGCATTGCACAATGAGGTTTTTGTCTTACATGATGTTGGCCAGTACAGCACAGCCAGAGGTGATCAGCATGACTGTGCCCTCAATAGTGAAGTCATCATCAATGAGCCGTTCCACTGCTAGATACACTAGCACACCAGTCACCAGCCAAATGGTGAAAACAGACAGCAGAGCACCCAAGATTTCTGAAAACACCCAATAGTAGATGAAATTACACTTGTAGTTCATATAGTTCACTAGCATACATAAGGAATATTTAAGAAGTATAAATACCTTACTGTTCAAAAGTTTGGGGTCCATAAGATTTTTTAATGTTTCTGAAACAGGTCTCTTATGCTGACCAAAAATGCAGAACAAATGTTATTAAAATTTAAAATAACTATTTTGCATTTTAGTATATATTAAAATGTCATTTATTCCTGTGATTTCAAAGCTGAATTTTCATCAGCCATTACTCCAGTTTTCAGTGTCACATGATGTTGATTTGGTGCTAGCATTTCTTATTATTATCGATGTTAAAAACAGTTTAAGGATTTAAAATCCCTAACAAATAATGTATCATGGTTTCCACAAAAATATTATGCAGCACGCATAATATTTTTGTGGAAACCATGATACATTATTTGTTAGGGATTTTTTTAAAGAATAGAAGTTGAAAAGAACAATTTATTTGAAATAGAAAGGTTTCGCTGTCCCTTTTGATCAATGTTTTGTTGCTGAATAAAAGTATTAAGTACTGATCCCAAACTTTTGAATGGTAGTGTATTTACTTTTTTCTTTATTTATTTTATGTATAGATACATATACTGTATATAGTGTACTTTTTTAAGTAGCAGACACCCAGGAATTTTGAGCCACATGACAACAATTTACTGTTCTACAATTCCAGTGATTCACCTGCTCGATACCAGTCGTAATTGAGAGTGTGTGTAGCAGGTCTGGACGACAGCCACAGCGAGCACAAACTGATGATGAAGCTGGTGAGGTCCACAAGCAGGTGGGCGGCATCTGTCATCACTGCCAGACATCCAGCAAAATACCCACCTGTACACAGACCAGAGAGCAGCACATATTCACCAACAATCCTTTGTGTGTGCAAAAACAATTTGCAGCCAATCAGCAGTAAGGGTCACACACCTAAGATCTCGCCCACCATGAAGACCAGACACACTGCTGAAACAATGTACAGGCGTTTCTTGGCAAGCTTTTTTTCACGCTCTCGGTCCTCCAGGGCACGGCTATTATCGTGACAGTGCTTACCATCTTTCATCTCACCTGAAGACATACTGGAACAGTAAAGAAAATTAACATAATTAAATGAAGATCTCTTATCGATTTCTTGGAGTCATAGTTTTGAATGACAAACAGCAGATCTAGCTATCTAAGTAGTTGCATGCATGACAATTCACCTGCAGCCTACAATGGTATAAATACATAAAGAAATAAATAATGATATATATATATATATATATTGTATAGAGAGAGAGAGAGAGAGAGAGAGGCAGGGGCGGCGTTTCCGTATGGCAGAGTATGCAGTTGCCATACCCTAGCCCAGTCAGATGTGCTGTGGAAAATAATCCAAACTTCATATCTCTATTTATTTCGTTATTATTATTTTAAATTAATGCTATTGGTCTTCCTTATGTCTGAGGGTTTTACAAAAAAAAATGTTCCCAATGACAAGCATTCAAAAGAGCTTGTCACTAAAGCTCGTAACGCCATTTGGATCCTCAAACTGTCAGCGAAACCGTGTCACTCCACCCCGCTTCCATTTAGAATGAAGCGCCGGTCACAACCTGGAGACAGATCTACGGTGGTCGAGAAGTGCAAAGCAAATCACAATTCTGAAAACAAAATAACAAATTACAAACGCAAATGCAAGTCTAAAAAACAAAATAACTATTCGGAAAGCACAACAACAATTCAGAAAACATTATAACAAGTCAGAAAACTTTGTTTTTTAGACTTGCATTTGCGTTTGTAATTTGTTATTTTGTTTTCAGAATTGTGATTTGCTTTGCACTTCTCTGCTACCGTACTTGATGTTTGAATAAGTGCAGCGTTTTCTTTACTCAAGAAACACCATGTCTGTAAAGGCTAATATAGTTTTTTGTGTGTGTCTGAAGAGCGGAGAAGAGTGCTTTTGCCGTCTAGTTGTAGCCAATAGGCCTTTACTTTTGTTCTGTTTCAGCTCGATCTCAAGGCAGTACGTGCCATAGTCACGAAATTTATAGTTAATTGATTCGTGTTCAGTTATAAATATTGTATTAAGTATAGAAAATTGTTACAGATGGTAAACAAAATCTCGTTATCTGGTCGTGGTAGAAAGTTCGGAGATGGTATTAAAGTAGCTCAGTTTAAATGTATTGTATGAATTGCCCTTACTCTGGAATAAAAAATATGGGGTGTCTATTTACATTTAGTTAAAAGTGGCTGTAAATTATAAGCTCCAGTGGCACAGATGGATAAGTGTGTGCCTTTAGCTTTTTGATGCGATCGACCCGGGTTCGATCCCGCCTTTTGCCGAACTTTTTTTTTTTCTCCCTTTTCAAATCTCATATCACATCGGAAAGGCATTTATTTTCAATAAAAATTATGGAAATAATCAAAAAGTTGAAAATAAAGTATCGGGTAGGGTTAGGGTAGGTGTAGGGAGGGCTTTATTGTACCAATAA